CCCCTCTTTCCGAGCCATTGAACTTGCTTATATATGTAACAAACTGAGCAAGGTTGAACTTTTTATTTATAGTGTTACACCATGTAGACAACACGATGGGGGAAATTGAGTTGATAAATATAACTTAAAATGAAATAATTCAATAAAATTAACTTGCTCAACTCAAGTAAAATAAAAGAATGAATATATAAAACATGAGCAATAATGTGTGAGCAAATCAAGTCAAAGCAAAATAGAGCCGAAAGTATACATATAAAGGAAGAAGAGAGAGAGAGAGAGAGAAGGAAAACACAAGATTTATAGTGGTTCGGTTTCAACCCAAACCTACGTCCATTCCTCAAAGCTCTCCCTCGAGTATTTCCACTATTTATCTAATAGATTTACACTAGCAAATTTACCGGATACTTGCAAGACTTTTGCAACAAAAATTTTGTTCCAAAAATCCCAAAAAGCAAACCCACCAAAACAGCCCCTCTTTTGGTGTTACCAAATCTCTCAGGTGTTATAGCGAACCTGGTTATCCCTTCACTGTTTTGTTGTATTCCGGACTCGGTTCCGTGGAGTTGGTAGTTGTATCTATCTTGTTGTCGTCCTTTAATTCCATTTGTTTGAGTTTTAGGATGTGTTGGGCATGTTTTGAACAGGTGGGTTGAACCTTGGTCTAAAATCTTGTTACCAGGTTTTTGGTCGTTCCACTCGAGCGGGTCTTGTTGCGCTCGAGCGGAGATTGCACACTCCTAGTTTTTCGTGTCCCTGCAAAACTTCTGCAGGTGTGATTTTTACGCTTGAGTGGGTTTCTTTACGCTCGAGCGGTCGCGCTCGAGCGGGTACTCTGGCGCTTGAGCGGGTTGTACTTTTTGGTGTAAGTTCTGGGAGGGAGAAATCTACGCTCGAGTGGACTGGTTTTCGCGCTCGAGCGGATGTACTTTATTCTTGTGTCTTGGCGCTGGAGCGGGCCTTCTTGCGCTCGAGCGTACCTAGTTTTTTGTTCTTGACGCTCGAGCGTTGTGTTCTCCGCTCTAGCGGGAATGTCGTATATCAGTTGGCAGCTGGGCATTTTAAAATCACTTTTTACATTCTCTCTCTCTCTCTTACTTTCTAAAAAGCTATTTTGAGAGCTCCTCTCTCTAGAAACACCCTTCTATCTAGGGTTTGATCTAGTTAGAGTGTCTCTCTATCCTCCGGCCTTTGTAAAAAGTGTGTTGATCGTCAAGGGCTTCATTTTGATCCGAGAATCGTGGTGTTTGGAACATTTTCACTTTCTTCTCCTTCCCCATTTGAGCTCTAATTTTGAGGTAGGGATATCCTACTCCTTCTCATGAGTTTTGTCTTTGAATTTTAGTATTTTGATGAGTTGGGGTTGTTGGGTAATTTTGAGAAAGTTTGGGCCTTTGTGTAATTTTACAAAAGTTGGGGTTTTGTTTATATAAACGTATATGCATGTTTGGCATAGAGAAATGAGATCAATATTGGTCTATTGGTAAAGAAATGGAACCTTAGAGTTGTGATGTTAATTATGAGAAATGTTCTAATTACATTAATGAATTAATTGGTATAATTAATTTGAAGAAAAAAGGAATTAAGTTGAGAATGTTGGAATTGGAGGTGTATGGGATTAAAGGGTGTAGTTAGATTCGTTTATCGCTCACCTAGTTGAAATGTTGATTATATATCCATTTGGTGCATTTATTTTCAGTATAGAAATAACTACTTTGGGCTATCGGTGGAGGATAGTCTTGATTGTTGTAGACACTGCATGATGATTAGGCAAACTAAAACTAATCGATTGAGTATGCTATTGAATTTAGCAAGTGGAATAATACATAAATTCTATGTATTGATTGATTGTATATGATCTATGTTTATATACATGTGTTGTGTGGGAGAAGATGTGGGATGTACTCCACGGTTTAGGAGAAGATAGGGAATGGACCTCTAAACCGGATTTTGTGTGACAGTGATACAGCACTACAATGTGTATCAGGCTGCGAATTAGAAATATTTTTGTTTCATTAATACAGCACTACAATGTGTATTATTTGAGACTTATAGAAGTATTTGAATTGATTTGATATAGCACTAAAATGCATATCGTTATCAATTGTAAAGTATAGAAGTGATTCTATGTTATGTTGATACAGTACCGAAATGTGTATCTTTCGCAAAGTGTGGGAATGGTTTATGTGTTATTGATACAGCATTAAAATGTGTATCCCTCATGAATTTTGAAAGTGTTTTAAAGATGAGTCTAAACCTCATTAAGTTATTTGGCTAGGTGTTGAGCCTTGGTTTCAAACTCAAAGTTGGAAAAAGATATGAGAAATGAAATGTAACATGGACTTAATGTCATGAAATCGAAATGTGATATATGTGAATGTATCTGTGTTGACCATCTATCGACTGCTAATCTTTTAGTCATTGTTCATGGCTGGTTTAGTGTATTTCTATTGGGCTGTGGCTCACCCTTTATGAGACATCATTTTCAGGTACAGGTAGCATGCTACCTCCAAGGACATAGCTTGGGAGGCTAGAGGCAGACAGATTGTTTTGTTTACTTTCTTTTGATGTATTACATGTAAATTCAAACCAAGGGCTTAATATGTATTGAGTTAGCACTCTTCTTTTGTAACCAAGTGTTAACTTGGAAAGCTGTAAGCCCGTAGGGCATTTGCTTTTATTGTTAACATGTAATACTTTTGTAAGGAACTCCTCTGATGAATAGAAGAATATTTATCTTTTATACCAATGCATGTCTATGTTGTTGGGTTTTAATGTTATTATTTTGAGAGCGTTACACCCCATTTTTGGACGTGTATTATAAAATTTTCCAACGTAACCACACAATTTTATATAAGGATTTTATGTACAATTTTTTTTTTTAATACAAAGAGTAAAGAAATTTCACAACACATGCTGACTGGGAGGCAAATATGGTCATCGATGATATTAAATATCTATGTTGTTTTTTCCAATTCTTAGTTATTATTAAAGTTAATCGTTTTGCAATTAAATCAATGCCTACATTATCTAAATTGAATAACATTGCTCACCAAAAGATCAGTGCAATAATACCAATTACTGATAAATAGCGCAATATTTCTTCGTGAATCTCCGCTATTTGAATATGAAACATCACAACAATAAATAAAAATGAAATGATTCTCTAATATGCTCAATCTCTCTCTTCCCACAAAAAGAAAAAAAAAAAAAGGAAAAGAGAAAAAGTATAATAACCACATTTTTGTTTTAATTTTTTAATTTTTATTTTTTACGTATCCATTTGAACAACTTATCTAGTGGGACTAGTATTCTTGCAATAGTAGTTTAAGTAAATTATTTTAGTTCAAATCACAAATAATGGTTGTTTATGTAAATAATTTAGGCCCAAAATATAATTAATTTTAATTATTAAAAGATTATTATAAGAAAAATATTGCAGAAAATTCTATTTTTATCCTGTGGTTGCCTTTCATATCCGGTAAGTCTGAATACAGACAAATATGATTTTTTTTTAAAAAAAATTATAAATACAGTTTATATTGTTGACTCTAAAATATTGAGGTTTACTAGAGTTGGGTTTGGTTTTTTTATTTGTTGATTATTTATTGCTTACATATATGGGTTAGAACATCTCC